CACAGATACAAAGATGGTTTGGATTACATCGGAGAACACAGAGATGACGAAGAAGGGCTAGTACAAAATGCTCCAATCGCTTCACTGTCTCTCGGACAAAAACGAGACTTTATTTTCAAGCACTGTGATGCACGCGGGAAGTACAAGAAACGTATGATAGAGCCGATTAAAATAGAATTAGAACATGGTAGCCTCTTAATGATGAACAATCCAACCAACCGATTCTGGTTTCACTCGCTACCTGTCCGGAAAAAGGCAACAGGAGCAAGAATAAATATGACCTTCAGAAAAATAGTCTTTGCCATGTCTCACGCGTGCGACATCTGTGGCAAAGAGTTCAGTCGAAAAGCCAACCTCGTCCGTCATCGCGACACGATACACGGAGACGTGACGGACATGGCTTCGGGAGAAGAGGTCTTGGACGCCGAGACAGGACAAAACCGATCCGCTGATATCTTTGACGACACCGACAATTCATCCGAGGAGGCAACCACCGAGCATGACACGGAGTCGCTGGAATCTTCCGAGGAGGAGGTCTCGACGGTGTCACAAGATGACGTCTCAGAAGATGAGTCTGTAAAGGATTCTTGGGAAGCAGAGTCAACGACAGAAACCGAAAGCGATCAAAGCGGTTCTGAGAGCGATGCAAGTTCGACCGTGTCTTCCAATTCCTCTTCCTCTGATGAGTGTGAAGAGTATGGTTACGACAGCGGTGACGAGGAAGAGCGGACGCTCTATCGAGACTGGTCCATTCCACTCAAGCACGAACCGGGCGATGTCCCTCAACGTGTGATCAAAGTGACAAAACGTACTGGTAAAACGTTTTATCTTGTAGAGTTCGCTGCCATGCCTCGTTACGATTACAACATCGAGTACAACAAGAGCTGGGTCCCAGAGCAGACATTGATGAAAAAATACGGACTACCTCGTCAGAAATAATACAGCATCGTCCTCCTGTCGACAGGACTAACTCTACCTAACGACGTGTCGTATTGATATTATGTTTGATGAGTAACGTATAGCTATAGTTGGCCTGTGCATTTCTTCCTCAACACTGTCTTGATTGAAGTGATGACTAAAGTGTGATGAAACCATACTCTTTCGTATATTTGTGTCGAAGTATGCAAGCATGCTACGGAAGTGCGTAACAAAGATATAGCATGTACTAAACACAAGTACACTCCCTCCGATGTAAAGTGTACATGTATACGTATGTTTGCATTAAGCATACGTGTATGTATGTGTCTATATAAATATACATATATCGATATAAACGTGTTGCTCCGGAGTAAAATATCACTCCGAAGTAAGTATTACTCCTTAAAATATTACTCCGGAGTAAATATTACTCTGTTTTGGAGTAAATTGTTTATTCTGGTGTAAGTGTATTTGTAGCAGCTAAGTATAGTTGCCATGGTTGTCGGTATTGTGTATTCTTACAACTCATGAATCACTCATGAGTCACTGATCCATTACTCAAGAGTAAATGTATTTACAATATGTTGCAACATGTTGCACACACACACACACACACACACACACACACACAGTGAAGGTTTGCGCAGACACAAAATGCTTTCCTTACAGTGAAACACTTTATTCAAGAAACATTCTGTAATTATAATTCACAGTTCACATTAGAGTACTATGCACGGCGGTTCTTTCACAACACATACAACATTCACAATTCACATTTCATACTACAGCGTCCTACGAGTTCTTTGTCAACGGGATCTCTGATCCAGCAAGACACATGTGACCTTCACAGTTCTTCCTTTTCTTTGATTAGATCTCATACATACATACATACATGTATGCATAGTTGACATAGGTTTACATGTGTGTATATACAGACAAAATAGTCGCGCAAGTGACTCATTCATTGCTCGAACGTATACGCAAATAAAAAGAGTCACTCGTGAGTGACTCACTCATTGAGTCACTCGTGAGTGACTCATTGAGTCACTCGTTGCATTGCTCTGGAGTAAATCCTGCTCCGAAATAAAGAGTCTGTACATGACCAGACTTGCCCGATCACAGACACACCCACCCAAGTAGCCAGTCAGTATACATTCGTACAGACACACATACATAGGCATACAAACCTCAGCATAAGGTCTTTGCCTGTGTTCCAACCACCAGGAAGCTTTAATCGTTTTCGATTTTCAATACACAATGGCTGACTGGATAACATCTTTGTCAGTTGGCATCTTTCCGTTCTCCATAGCCTCCAACACCTTGTCCACCGCTTTCATCTTGCTTTCAAGGTCTCACGGTGGTAAAATCTGGGTTGCAAAGTTCCCACATGCCATAGAACCCGAACTGTGTTCGATCTGGGCAATTCGAATCGAACCCGCGTTCTATTTCGGGGTCACCTGCGGTCATTTACAGTAAAGCGGCAAAACAAGCCCTTCTGTCTCTGTGCCGTGCAACAGATTAAAAAAAACACACTTTTCTATAGATACAAACAGTTTCCTGGACAGTATATGTCCGCTATCATTTTTTTGTGGACATGTAACATGTAGCGAAGCTACTGTCGTATCCTTGGGTGACCTTGAATACTGTAATGATTCTTTACGCCAGTACGAATAACACAATGCAGACTTTTGGTCGACTTGACATGTCTGCAAAACTCGTTTTAACCTGCAAGCACGGAAAGTCAAGCATACCCCATTCACGGCTCACAATGACCGTAACGGTTGTCCCGAAAATCTTGTTTTAGGGATTTTTGAAAAATGGCCTCAATCTTGAATTATGGGTAATTTAGTGCGAAAAATGTAAAAAAGATCATTTTTTCACCAATATGTCGACAAAAACTAGACTTAAAATCAGAAATTAAAAAATCCCTAAAACACGATTTTTGATCTTATTCCTAGTCGTCGAAAAATATAAAAATCGGGAATCTGGGGTAATATACGAAGCCAGGTTAAAACGATGTTTGCCTAAAAACATGACATGACTTGTGGTCGGGAACCCGAAAAAAATTTCTTTCGGAGTGAAATTTTGAAAAATCAATGATTTAACATAAACAGCTAATATTAAAAGGATGTCAAGGCAATAATTTCATTTTGATTTGACGAAATTTACCATTAAATACTTTTTGTTTATTTTCAAGTGTTTTACTGGTAGGCTAAAATCGGCCAAAATAGCGTCTTGTAACCCGATACCTTTTAGAACGCGCCTAGCAATGGGAAAGAATACCGTAGTGACAGACCGCCGTGTCTTCCCATTGCTGAACTGTTAAGGCTATGCCTCTCTTCATTACAGGGTCGGTGGCTGGGGCTCCGTATGGTCTGTAGTGCTGGTGTAGGGTGATGGATGTCTGTCCGCGCAACATCTGAACTGTCACGTACTTTTCAGATCCCAGGTCATACATTTTTGGCTCAATCCTCCCGAAGTAGTAAGGGATGGTATGGCACGAAGCGTCCAGGATCGCCCCCAGTAGCGGAAGTGCTTTCAGTTTGGCCCACTGCTTAGGTGTCAATGCAAGACCTTTCTTCCCGGGTCTCATCGTGTTCACGTCAGCTGGGTCTGGGTGGTAAAACTCTCTCACGTTTATTATCGGTTTATTCCTGAACATCGCTACGGTAAGGAACACATTGTCGCCCAACGGTAGACGTACTTCATGCGGCTTCAAGTTGGTGTTCTGACTGGAAGGCGCTACTTCGCTACAGAGGATTTCCTGGACGCTGGAGAGGGTGGCCCCAATGGCGGTGTTCGAGAGGACCGCTCCGGGCTGGACGATCTGCTGATGTGCCATGGTTTTCGGTCTCGATCTTCGCTCCCTGTCCACGGCTTTGGACGCAGGTTTGTCTCCGCAAGTGGGACTGGTTTCTCTCCAGTTTCTGTTGCCATTTTATACACGTTTCTGACCGACACCCACAGACCTTCCACCAATCGCCGTGAAGTACGCCACCTACTTCACATGCAAACCAATCGACTACTCCGGATCCTCAGAGCAAGTCACCAACGCTTGCCATGCCGCCAATCAGCTACTACAGAGGTTGACGTTAACCACGCCCCCACTTCATGATGCAATCCTGACGGTCCCGCTGTTATGTTGAATAGCTTACTGTCAAAGTAACAATGTCGGTAGGCGTGGTATCATCCTTCAAAAATCGTTGCCTTGACGACAGGTTTCCCAGGTTACCGGGGTCAAAAGTGCACACTGACCTTTATCTGACCCGCAATTTAGCTCATTAGCTAAAATCTGCATACATTCGCCTACATTTGCATACATCTGCATATCCTTAGCATAATGACGGTGACCTCTGACCCGCACCGCCTCGCACCGACTGCACCGCCCGAATAATGTACATCAGCGTGTCGACTGTATACTACTAACGCACCTGTCCTTGGTGCTGAAAACCATCCACATACTGTTACACATATTGTTATACTTCCGATGCTGGTTTTTAGTCGTCAAATCGTTGCGCCACAAACTGAACTAAACGCGGACTAAGGATAATAGGCATCTTATCAATGGTAGGTCACTAAGACCCTTCCCAGTTATCTATGGCGCCATCACAAAGCATCCTCCAATGGCAGGGGCAGCGGCTCCGAATTCCTTCTCCACCCCTTACGGATGGAGAAGGAATTCGGAGCCGCTGCCCCTGCCATGGGAGGATGTCACAATGTCAAGAGCAAAGTTTTTGTTCGTAACGTTTGTTACAGTACGTTCTGGAACGACTTTATTATTTTTTTTTTTTTATATATTCCGAAACATGCAATCACAAGACGCGATGACGGCACACTCAAGTTTTTTCAACTTATATATTAATGCCGCCACCAACACAGGGACAGTACAATACTCATTTACACATGAGCGAAGTGAGGAAAGTCGTGTAAAGTGCCTTTCCCAAGGGCACAAGATCGGTGGCATGTCAGGACTCGAACCTGGGGCCTCTGGTTCCGAGTCGAGAACGCTTCCGCTACGCCACACGACCCCACTAAACGACTTAATTTAGTAACCACGGTGTAGAACAACAACAAAGCACAACTTTGCGTTACAAAGCATAGAGCACGCGGTGTTACGTGTCTGTGCGTGATTTGCGACCTTTTAGACCATTTTCCTCTGATGAAAATGGACCGTAGCCGACCGAGTTTGTTGCGCAGGGGCACAGCCGCCTTTCTGGCCGTCGCCCGTACTCGGGTGGTGAATCCGCAGACCGCACGCAGAAAAGGTTTTACATGCACTTAAGCGACGGTCACAACTCGCCGTACGTGCTTCTGCGTGCTGTCTACGTTCAAAAACATGGGCAAGCGTAGGGCATCCGTGCGTGGTGAGTACCACCGCCGTACGGAATCCTACGGGTTTGGGAGCACGCAGACACGCCGTAGAACTTTAAGTGCATGTAAAACTTTTTCTACGTGCGGTCTGCGGATTCACCACCCGTACGTGCGAGTACGAGCGAAGCGCGTGCCCCGTACGTGCCGTGCGGAAGACGTACGTGTGAGTACGGCCTCCTTACGGTAAAGTTGCAATCGCACAGAGATCGTACGTTGTAAGCACGTACAACTCACTTACCAATTGCGCCACGAACGATGCACGCAACCGCTCACGGCCAGACTTGGCGTGCAGACCACACTCTTACACTTTGTGCAACCAGGCGAGTGACGTGCGAGTGACGTGCGTAGACGCCACTCCTTCCCCACGTTTTCAGAAAAAACGTAGCAGACGTAGCCTCCCAAAAAACGTACGGAGAAAAGGCACGTACGGCGGGTTGTGACCGTAGCTTAAAAGTTCTACGACGTGTCTGCGTTTTCCCAAATCCGTAGGATTCCGTACGGAGGCGGTACTCACCACGCACCTGCACCACGCACGGATGCCCTACGTTTGCCCACGTTTTTGCACGTAGACAGCACGCAGAAGCACGTACGGCGGGTTGTGACCAAGGCGTTTCATTTCAAACATATTATTTCTATTATTTGACCTCTGATCTCAAATTCGTTTCTTTCTCTATGATTGATTCTGTTTCAAGTTGCTATAATTTCAGTATGATTTGCATGTTTTATTTATCATTATTGCTAAAAGCAATTATTATCATTATTATTATTGTTATTTCATTGTATTTCTTGGACTCCAGGAAAAATAGTATCGAGCTGACTTCGAAACTAATGGAGATCTAAATAAACAAACAAACAAACAAAAGCTTACAGAGTTATGCCGCCCACTTCCACACTCACTCCTCCATAGCCAAACGGAAAACATAACCTTCTGACGAAGATATTACAACATACATTTGCATCATTTAAAACCTTTCAAAACTCCTCCTGTGGACAGATATGAGAAAGCAGCATGTTAAGTTGACTGTCCACCATGGTTTGGTCTGGGTGCACGTTGTCTTTTCCCGGCTGACACACGCTCATGTCCCACGTGTCCAACACAACCACGTCTGGATCCGCCCGGAACATCTCTCGTATCACCTCCGTGATCTGGTAAGCCAGCCAGTCGCTTCCTAGCAGGTAGAACTCCAACTTTCCTCCAGTATGCTCACGTGTTGTTCCAGTTCTCACGAAAACCCGCGTGCCGGGAGCCCTGCGCTTGAGACGGTGTATGGCGGCCCGTATGGCGTACAGTCTGGACCGGAGCAGTTCTAGCGGCTCTGCCGTAAAGTGAGCCCACAGACTCAGGACTATTACCGTGTTTGGGCCTCCTGGATTGGTGTCCAGCGTTTCAACAACGTAGCGGAAGTCATAGAAGACACACCAAACGCTTCCCTGTACTGGGAAGTGGTGAAACCGGTAGCGAACAGAGATGTTCCATTGACTGTTGTCTCCTTCCAAACGAGCTGCAGAAACAAAAATGTTCAATTCATTGAGACTGTCGGCATGACGACTATACATGCATCACTTTGACGATGTTTGGCAGGCGTATCTTAGAACGAAATAGGCTCAAAAAAGCTATTTAGGAAACATTGACAAACCTATATAACCCTTGGTCTTGTTGTGGTTCAACGGTACTACCGTCAGCAATCGCAGGCCCCATTGTCTGATGGTGGAGTCACCTAGAGGGAATAGAAATAATCGAATTTAACATTATACCCAATGGACTGTATCTAAGATATCCAGAAGCGCAATCATCAATACTAACGATGCGTACCTTGCATGTACACGGTCCTGTTAGCCAGGCACCGCCGGATGTCATTCTGAGTGAACACTCGGACATTGCAGACGGATGACGTCCAGACCTTGCCTGACCAATGTCCCAAAGCTGCAGACTTGTCCCAGGTACACGCTGGAAGGTGTTGAGGTGTGGGAAGTTCTGCTTTAAGAACGTGTATGGGCTCCTTCGGGTCTACTTCAAGTTCCTCCTCAAGATATGGCCTGTGGGGTGTGGAAACTAGTCATGCATTTTTTATAGCCTTAGTTGTATTTTTATGCATACAGTAGATATACATTCAAGGTATCAAGTTTCCAAAGACATTTACTAACCTGTGCATATTTATTCAGAGCATCATATGTATTTACTAATCCCGCTACACCCGTTGCGAGCATCATGCCACGTTTAAATTATTCAAGAGGACAGGATAAGAATGAGAAGCTCTCAGCAATAGAATAGACAGGAGTACTGGTGTCCTGGTATTTCATTTCACTTAGACATTTCGCCGTTGGAGTTGCATTTGTAACGTACAGTTGATGACTTACTTTTGAAAAAGTTTCTTTTCCTCTTCAGACAATACTTCCAGTATCTTTGCCCTACTCTTTCCCGAGTCCCATCTGCACCTTGATATGGCGGAACACGGAATGTTGTCCGGTTTCTCACAAATCCAGGTCCCGTTCACGTCTGACTTTGAGAAGTCGCACTGTTGGTGGGGCAGTAGGCTGGTGTCGGCAGAGCTGAAACACTGTGTTGTGTTGGTGGCGTTCTTTTTCTCGTCGACGAAACTACAGGAGAATATTCTCTTGTTCGGAACTTCCCGCACTCTCTGTAAGACCTTCACTGCCTCGCTTGGGTGGACAAGCTGAATCTTTATCTGATATAGAATAATAGATCAGGCAAAGGGTTTGTACGTTTGGAGTAGAAGTTACGCACCAAAAGCCACATCCTTGGCAGCAAATATCGCATACGGTACCATCTATATACTATAATATTGTATATGTACGATTTGGGGGGTGTTTCTCGTGCAACGCATCATGTATATCACACTGCGGCGAAACGCAACGAATGCGGTATGCCACCGCAGGGCAATAAAAGGCAAGGGTCTATGACCTGGTTAAGACATCAAATCATTTGAAAATATCGTGTAAAAAATGCCAGCAGGACAAGAGTTAAGAAGACATCGTTGTGCATACGAAATCTGATCACAGAGCACAATATTAACAGACAGCATTAGATAAACAGACAATAACGATAATAATGCAGTACCAGGGGTGCCAGAGTATACAGTGCAAGTTTACGAAATATTTTACGGAATACAGTAATACAATCGTATTAGTATATAGTAGGGGGGCCAGGTGAAAATTTAACCCTACCTATACCGGGCTTTTTTTGACATGGGGGGACCGGGGGGGGGCTCTTTTGACCCCCCCTAAGAACTCGCGAACGGTATGTCGTATGACCACCTAATTTTTAGAGAATGGTGTACTAGTAAAAAATTATCATATCTACAATTTCTATGTCATTACGACGTAATATGACGTCATTATGACGTCATTAATGTGATTTTATTGGCCAAAACCGTCTAAATAGGTTTTTCCTTGAAAACTAAATGATATACAACATAACTGTACCAAAAGTGTTTATGACAGAATATTATGGTGTACTAAGTCTTATGTTGCCCATAGCAACACCGGTGACGTCATAAGATGACGTCATGCATATTTAAGATACCCGCCATCTTGGATCATCAATCTTGACTTTTCAGAAATAGTTTTTTTCATGATAAAGCCTAAAATACATTGTAAACATACTAAAGACCTTCATTTAAACATTTTTTGGAAAAAGAAATGGAAGTATTGATGAAATTTTAATGAAAAAAACCTGTATATACCTGTTCTGGTTTACTACTACTACTACTTCTAATGATATGGTCCGCCATCTTGGATTCAAATTAGCATAAATTATGCATATTTAATTATAAAATTTACATAAAATTATATAGGATGCTATTAATATGTAACTTGACATAAAACCCATAAAATTCTATTGTTGAAACAAAAAGTACTAAATTTAGCAAAAAATGCCTGTCAGAAACCCGTTGCCATGGCAACACAAAAATTATTATCATATTCCAATGATAGAGAATTGTTGCCAGCAATATTCTAGGAAAAGTCACCAAGTTTGGCCGTTCTACGGCTAGCCGTTCAGACGCTAGGTGACATCAAAGTTGCCGCGGGCACTTTTAGCCCCCCCCCCCCCGGAACCTCAATTTCCCATCCAAGCCAGCCTAGCGGGAACCAATAGGCGGGCAGCATTTCGGCCACACCCACAACCCGAAGATATGGTTGAAAAAGATGTTTCTCAAACTTGTTCAAAAGATACATTTGTAAATTGTTTTCAGAAATTCTGTGTCTTTGATGTGTCTTTGAATAGTTGGAGCAAAATAACTACCGAGCCGAGTTAAACCATTTCGGCACTGGGCTTCTGGTGCTTACGTCGGCCGCGCGGCGTACAAAACAGTATCTTAGGCCAAGTCTTTGTCTGTGAAAATGTAAGAAAAGAGGCCTTGCAGTCCTGTCCTGCCGATACCTTGTTGTCCCGATTAAACTTTGTTACCCAGGCGGTATGATCTCGAAAATATGAGTGGCAGCATCTCGATACACTTTTTAAAGACAAGGTTTGATTTGCCGATTCCGAGTTTCCAGTACTGAAGCCGCCGACACACCAAGTGTTGACGTACCTTCGGCACTGGAGATCTAGGACGGAAGCCGCCTCACCTCTGTATACCAAGTGCTGAGAAAGGAACCCGTAACTTCGGTACTTGCATTATTTTCACCCCAAATACACCAATTCTTACATTGTTTATCTGACATTTCCAACTCCGATTACCTGTCGCGCCGTACCGAAGGATGCTGTTCAACCCCATTGTCGAATGGAATCGACCGCAAAGTGGGCGTGGCGCGGAATGCTGGTCACCCATTGGTCACCGCTAGGCTATGTGGATGTGAAATTGATGTAGCCCCCCCCGGTCTAGGTAGGGTTAAAACTCAATGTTTTTCCTTCAAATTTTGTAGGTGGATAGGGCCTGTCACAAGGATCACAAAACTGCTTAAATTTTTGATCTAGCATTTTCCTTCTTAAGTTATAAATTTTTGAAGTATTATTTTTTTTGCTATTTTTGTAGAAAAATCGCGTGATCAAAAGGTCATGAACTTTGACCCCTTAAATAGCAATACCCCGAAACTTTTTTTACCAGTTTATAAAGTACGCACGATTCCACTTATCATAAAGACTTCCCAGTAATATTTATACCTGGGCCGCTACCAGCCTTGGAAGTTGCTTATTGATTGTGCCTGTGACATGTCAAAGGTCAGCCGAGCTAATCTCATTTGTATCGAGCGTAGACTATTTCAATGTAAATATACGTATTGCTTAACAAATAAAAGGAAATAACTCAATTTGCACATTCTTGGTTTTATTTTGACTTCAAGTCCTAGCTGCCCTGCAGTTGATTTATTGATGTGATTATTTACAAATAAAGTTTTGAACCACATTAATTTACATAATGTTACATTCCTACTCTTGATCATTTTGTTATAAGAAAGAAATTCAGAATGCAAAAGTAATCATGAAAATTAATTTCAATTGTTTCAAAGGTGCTTAAAGTCAAAAGGGATGGTACAGTGCAAGTCTGTAACAGTGTAACCATGGTACAGAAAAAAGTCAACTTTTAGTTTACAAATTATAATTCTGACCAAGGATCCTTGTTCAGACTGTCTGTGAGAAGTTTGTAACAATAACTGTCCTCAGTTCTGTTCTGTTTTGGACACCCTGCATCTTCCAATGACTGCTGCTCCTGCTATGTCAGTTCAGTTTGCCTGTTGCACTGTGCAGGTGCATTGCTGTCATAGCCTCCAAGTTTCTGGCCAGGATGTCTCCTATACGCTTTGCTGGGATGTCTGCTTCTTCACCATCATCTTTTCAGTCGTCTTTTCTTTCCTTGCAGTCTCCGTATTTTCTGTCACGTTTACTCTGCTTCTACAGTCTTCGAATTCCATGCAACCTCCATGTACTTGCAGGGCTCAAAACTTAACAGTGTCCCAATGGCCAATGACCACTAAAATTTAGGCTGAGACAATCAACATCAGAAATCAACATCAGAATGTCAGCCCTACTTTTGTTGATCAGGCACACGTCTCAGCTTTTGGCTCAGAAAAGCCCTCCCCAAATTTCTTGTCTACTCTGCACTTGTAGAATGCCTGGGAGTCAGAACGTAAGCAAATAAAGTTGACAAGTTGTTGTCATAAATACTTCCCGAAAAACAGGTTCGAATAGTTCAACCTCACTTCGGCACAATTGAATTTTTTTGGGACAGTGCTGGGACAATAAGATAAAATGTTAATTTCCAGGCCTGGCATGTCTCTCTTCTCTGGGGGAAGAGATAGACACCAGTTCACTGTCTTGTTCTACGTCATGATGACCCTAGGCTTGTTTCTCTAGCTGCAGTTGTGATACCGGGTCTGATCCTGTGGTCACGGTACAGCTGAGCACAGTCACTCTCATTTGCTAGTTGCAGGTAACACCAGGGCCCTGTACATGTTTCTTCACTTACATGGCCCTCTAGAACATAATTTGGTCGTCATGATACCCTGTTTAATGAAGACGTGCCCGACATTTTCCTCATCTTTGACTTGAAGGCAGGGTAGAATCATATCCCAGACAGTTTCATCCTTTTCTGCTTTTTTGCATGGGTCAACACCTGGCACTTGACTTGATTACTTGTCAGCTGCTGTCTTTTCATCTTGGGTCAATACAAGCTAAGACAGTTGTCAGTTCTCAATATAGTTGAATATATCCCTCACAAGACTCCAGGTTGTCTGTAATAAGTGGAGGCAACATGGACCTGTCAGATTATCTCTCTTAAAAAATCATCATAATACTTGTGCTGTAACAAAAACAATTACTGTAGCTGTAGCAAATATTTTTGTTTCGCTTTAAAAACTAAAATAAAAACAAAATCATTGACACACCATAGTATATTCATGCCAAAGCTACAGAAGTGTTTGAAATATTCAGATCGATTGTGAGAAACATGGTCAAAAGAAACAGTTTGTAAAAAGTCATTTCCGAGCCCCCCTCCCACCCTAACACTAGCGCGCCCAAGCATGATTTTCTGGACCATTTATTTTGCAATCAAATCTAGTTTAGCATTAAAAATCATGCCTAAAGACTCCTAGGAAAGTTGGGGAAATGTTTTGATTGAAACCTACCGGGAATCTTCTCCTCGTCCACCAGCGATCGCATTTCTTCTGGGGCAGGCTGAAGCTAATGAAGACCATGTGCGCGCCATTATGGACTAGTTTAATCGCGTGGCCGGGGGTGTTCCACATAGTTAATCTCCACAAATGTTGTTTTAATAGAAAGAAAAATGTACATACTTCATATTTTATGCAGTTTCTGCAGGATTTTACTCTTTTCACTTTATTAGGTATTCTTTAAAACCGAATTCTTGAAAATTTTGGCCAAAAAAGCTTAGCCTCGCAGGAAACCTTTAGGCTTTATCATGAGAAAAAAACTATTTTTGAAAATTCAAGATTGATGATCCAAGATGGCTGATATCTTAAATATGCATGACGTCATTTATGACGTCACCGGTGTTGCTCTGGGCAACATAAGACTTAGTACACCATAATATTCTGTCATAAACACTTTTGGTACAGTTATGTTGAATACCATTTAGTTTTCAGGTAAAAACCTATTTAGACGGTTTTGGCCAATGAAATCACATTAATGACGTCATAATGACGTCATATTACGTCATAACGACATCAAAATTGTAGATATGATAAATTTTCACTAGTACACTATTCTCTGAAAATTAGGTGGTCATACGACATACCGTTCGCGAGTTCTTAGGGGGGGTCAAAAGACGCCCCCCCCCGTCCCCCCATGTCAAAAAAAGCCCGGTCTAGGTAGGGAGATATGGCAGTTTTTCCAAGGAAAATGTCTTTTTTTCCCGTTTTCTACACCAAACCCTGGGGGGATTGGCCCCCCTATATATAGTGCAATTTTACTAGTAAAATGGCACTGTATACTAGTTAAGTTGCACTGTACACTAATACGATTGCACTGTATTCCACATTCCGTAAAATTGCACTTTATTCCGTAAAATTGCACTGTATACTAGAAAAAGGGCACTGTATTCACTAAAATTGCACTTTATTCCGTAAAATTGCACTGTATACTGGTAAAATTGCACTGTATTGCCTAAAATTGCACTGTATACTAGTAAAATGGCACTGTATTCGATAAAATTGCACTGTATACTCTGGCACCCCTGGTAACTGTAAGCTGGAAAAACGTGGTAGATATATCAAAATGTTGTCACATGTACCCAACAGCCTCACCTCTTCCCGAACAAATTCCTTCACTGTACTTACCAAAACGCCCCCTGCCCAGTACAGCGGGAACTGCATGGTGTAGACACCGTTACAGTGGTCAGTGACGTTACCGGTGCTAATGGCCTGCGGCGAACGGTCACTGCTGACTAGTCTGGCCCGGAGAAAGTCTCCCCCGTACGTCTTTGGCCTTCCTTCTCTGTCTCTTGCCACCACCATCACGGTAAGAACGTCTCCTTGGTGATACAGGCGGTCTCTGTTTAGGACGACTATGGTTGTAGTCTTCGGGCACGTAACCTGCTCAAGGTAGCAAGCTTCAATCTTTCCAGCGTTTTGAGCTTTAACTTTTTCATGGTGAGGAATTGTTGTTTTAGTGTTAGTTTTAGTTGAGTTGTGGTTTGCGGACGGTCTTGCTTGTTCCTTTGGCGGCGGCTTCGTCCAAGTGCTCTTTAGAGGTATTACTAACGTTTGTTTCCTTATTCCAACATTCGACCGATCCAGCACCCGGAATTCTAATGTCTGTGTGACATAAGGAAGATAAAGAAAAATAATGAGAACGAAGTGATATAGAAGGTTTTATTTATTCCAACATGAAATCACAAGACGTGGTAACGGCACATTCAAGTTTTTTTTTTTCAACTCATATGATGACGTGTTAAAGTTCGGTTGTATTCCTCTGAGTTTTCCGGAAAAAAAACAAGTTTTGACGGTTTTATCCCCCCAAAATCGCATAAATTACGTAACAATGACGTCATACAACGTCATAATTACACAAAAGTTGTTGTTATGAATTAATTTTCTTTAATACAACATCTTTCTCTGGAAATTTGGTGGCCGTACGTGGTTGTTGAGTTACAGGGGGCGGGCCTCAAAGCCCTCCCCCCCGGTCTGAGCATGCCCACAAAGCCCGGTGTGAATAGAGTTAATTTGAATGTGTTGACTTGGACTTCTCGTTCAAACTACATTTTATCATCTGAGGTACTATCCCAACATATGGTACTAGTAACATGAAGAGTAAAAGAAAATAAAACAATAAGGCCACACCGACTTAATTTTATGGATGACATCCTCTGAAGACCCCCAAACTAGAGCGCGCGGGCGAATGAAATAAAAATTCCGGCCAAAAATAAAAAATACTACTAAACCACAGGAATACAGAGCTGGTATTGTGAATTTGCGGCAGTACTTAGCGACGTATACGACAAGCCGGCACATGCTGGCTTTTTGCGGAATTTATGAGTCGGCACTGTACGTATGTACTGAGTTCTGAGTCGTGGAGCTTCCGTAGCCTGGTTGCCCGGCTCCGTATTGTCACTATAACTACCATGGACTGGCCTAGAGCCAGGCCAGAGCCTCGAAGGACGTGATCTTTTTTTTTAAATGCGCGCGCGGATGTCATCCATAAAATTAAGTCAGTGTGGCCTAAACAAGAAAAAAACATAACATACCGTAAGGAAAATCACCACAGTAATCAGCACGGTAAAAGCCACATACTGCCGGGCACTGGCCATCGCGTGTTATGCAGTAGTGGTGTCAGGTACAGTTAGGAGCTAGAAAGATAGTCAGATAGTCAAAGTTTATTGCACAATAATTGTCACGGGTACAATGTATGGCAAATAATAATGTTACTAGTTGCTATGAGTCTATCATAATGCTACATATATGGTCAACGGTTACTGTGTTTGACAGAGTGTAATAAAGAACTGCTGGCTAGAAAATAATTCAACTCTAAACGTACATGTACGTTCTACATTACGCTAAACTATACTTATAAAGGGTACAGTGAGCAGTTGTACCTGTACAAAACATGTTCTATGACTACTAAGTTACTTGCCAGGAATGTTACAATTCTACATATAAATGCTACAATATGCTACACTATATACATGTAATTGATTAAGTATCCAATGACTCTACTTATACAGTTGTTCTAAGATTTCTTTTTTGCATGTCATTATAAATGTTTTGGCCTATATATACAGACAATGTGTCGGGGCATGATATAAGTACAGGGAACGAAATGCAGATTTGATTACATTTGTCCCATTTTTTTAGTACTGAGAAGTAGTGGACTGTAAACAAAACGTGCTAATCGGTATTATGGGGAAAATTCTTAATCTCTTTCTGGTAAATTAACCCTATCTAGACCGGGCTTTTTTGAGCTTGGTGGGACGCATGGACATGTTCACGGAACTATATATTCACGGTGGTGACAGTTGCAGGAAAAAGAAAGTCCAGGAATTATTTCCTAACTGTAATGATAAGTTCACAATACAGAGGTGACAGTGAAAACCGTGAACATTGACCCCCCGCTTGCGTTGTGGTACAGTGAAAAAAAATCGGGAATTACAGCAATCAATTTACTGAGTATGTTTGCTTAGTTTCCAGATGTTTTGTACTTGTAGTTTTTAAATGAACGAAAACCGATGCGCGCACAGATGTTACTTTTGTCACTTGTCACTCTGGTCTTCCTCAGTATTATAACCGAAAGCAAGGAGAAGTTGAATTTATCTAAAGATTAGTTTTTTTTTTCTTCATATGTTTTGTTTTTGAACTGTACTTAGCCCAGTGTGACAAAAATATGAAGCAAATTGGTTTGGTTTGGTTTGGTTGGTTTATTTAGATCCACAATTAGCTTAACAATTCATATTGCAGCTATTCTTCCTGTGATCAATTAACATATACACCTGACACACATAAAATAACTTATACAGACATAAACATGTACAGAAACTCCACAAAAACACCAAGTGACAGAACAAAGCTAGCTTACATGACCGCCATATACCTAAAATACCTATTTTACATTTCTCCAAAAGTTGTTGCACATTGTTCCATGCCTCTACAATTTCATAGTGTTCCAGGTGTGTGACATCCGATACAAAAAGCGTTTTCTCTGAGCATTTGTTCTAGGTTTGGGGAGACGGATAGTTTGTGACTTTGTTGATCTGGTTTGGTATCCATGTGACTGAAACGTGATCTGTTTATACAGGGAAACGGGCTGTCTGTTCTCCATCATTTTGCGAAAAGTCAAAAGGTCTTTCTGTTGAATCCTCTCTTTCACGGGCAACCACCCCAACATCTGCAGCAAAGCGTCCTTGCTTGTGGATCTGTTGCATCCGAGGGCGAGCCTCGCAGCTC